TCCCACTCTCCCCCTTTCGAGAGCCACGAAAATGCCGCCACTTGCGCTTGCCTTTCAGAAATAAGCAGGATTCAATAGACGACGAAACCGAGGACATGAACGAAGCGAAGCTATACCTTTTGCCCAACCATAGATACACACGCACACACACAGATGCACACATGTGTGTACTGCACACATACATATATAAATATATATATCGCCATAATGAAGTAGAGCACAAATGCCTTTGGGGTGGCTGGATGATGGGCCAAAACCAAAGCCAAACAGTTGCCCACTCGAGACCTCGACCCTCGTCCTTCTGCCACCATACTCCTCCTTCTCCTCCTCTTCCCCCTTTCTATAAACCCTCTTTATCCTGGATCTCCTTTGCAGGCAATCGCCCAACAGGCAACAAAAGTTCACTTTGAGTTTCGCTTAGATGGCCGAATGAAAAGCAAACCGACAACGGTGGAATTGTTTGAGAAGCGGTGGAATACGCGAAACCAAACCAAAAGCTAGCTAATAACAGGATTATTTATCAGCGGCCACACTGATTGCTAAGGAAATAATATTATTAAATCCAATATTAAAAATACATTTATCAAAAGCAAATAGCAATGCTCGCGTTTATCAAGAAAAATCCACCCGTCCGCCAACAGAAATCTTTTGTTGAGGCACGAAACTAAGTTTATCTGTTCTTAAAACCAATAAAAATTAAAAATATGTCATATATAAAGTTTAGTATAATATGTATAATAAATCATTACTAAATCAGTTGAAGTAAGATAAAAGTCTTTAAAACTTTTTGAAACCATTTTTAAACAATCGATTAGTAACAAAAAGCAATATTTCTACCAAAAAACATTACTAATATAAAACCCAATAATGATTGAAACAATTAAATGCTTATGAACAAAAGAGAGCAAAAAACAAATTTTAATATTTTTAATATAATAATAGAACAGATATAAATATCATAAAAGGAATAGTTCAATATAACATGCTAATAAATTCTAATTTATTCAAAGCATTCTCATTTGCAAATCCAAATACATTGTGCCACACAATTTCAGACATCGAACATTCAAAATCCCCAATATATCACCCAACCCCCAATAACCGATTCAATTAAAAACCAAACTGAAAAATATATGTACATATATTTCGTAACACGAAATAAGCTCCACAAATAAACGGAATCAAGCAGAAATAAGAGAATTTCCGACCACAAGGAAAATAGCAATGAAAATTGGCGTACATTGTGTGGGAGTGAGATAGCAGCGCAGCAAATGAGTGGACAATGAAAAGTACGAGGAATGGGAGAAAAAGTGGGGCCGGAAAGTATAGGTGGCTTACTCATCTTTAGTATTTCAATTTTGGATAGTGTTGACCTGCCTTTTGCCTCCCCTTTCCCCCATAAATTCAATTACTGCCAATATTTTCAAAGCGTGCAAACACACAAACGAAGACAACAAGAAAAACAACAGCAACACAGTAGTAAATTCAATTTTGTGTTATCCATCGATGTTTCCCCAGAGAATCGCTAAGAGACGGAGGGGAAAGAGATAAAGAGGGGGCTTAAGTCCCCCCTTTTCTACCCAATTTTTGGCGTGCGATTTTTTGCACTTTTAGCTGGCACTTTGAATTGTGTTTGTTATTGGGGAAGCGAGAGGCCAGATACCAGAGCCAAAACAAATAAAATGTGTGTGCATTACAAAATGCAATAGCTCATCCACCCAAAAACCCCCTCTTCAATTCGGCAACACAACCTTTATGCTTCCCCAAATTTCAACTGACAAAATGTCAAGCCCATCTCTGATATTTGTTTTGTATTCTTTTGCATAGAGAGTGTTACAATTTTGATCACTCGTGAAGCGCAATGCATTTCAAATATTTAAAACACATAAAACAAATAATAAAATAGACTAACATTTAGGATTTTTTTCCATTTTTTTAAAACCCTGCTTTTAATTTGTATTAAAGTTTTTTAACTTGTCATCGCCAGGGTATATAATGTTCGGTGTTTTTAAATACGAATTTACAATACATATTTGCTTATGGCCCCTTGCTATAAATATTGTTTTTGTAGGTGCCTATGTTGCTGATTTTGCTGTTGGCTACTGGTTGCTGTGTAGGTTCTTTTTGTTTTTAGGTTCTGAATTTTGGGTAGCTCTCCTTCCGAAGTCCTTTCGTTTATCTCTGGTGTTTAAACAGCGGTGCTGTGGCTGCCGTTTGCTCCTCTTTCTGTCCTCCTTTTACCCATCGTCTTTCCCTCCTCCTCTTTATCTTATTTTCCCCTATTGGATTAGATTCCAGTTTTTTGCCTGCCTCTGATTCCCCAATTCTTTTCTGCCAAAAAAGCTCAAGGTGCAACCAGAAATCTGTTAACTGCACTGAGAAAAGTATGTATAATCGATAATGGATAATTTATATACATATACTTTTTACTGATTATATTTAAGCAATAAAACTGTATATCTATAAAATGAGTAAATAAATTTAACTAACTGTGAGTAAAAAGGCATTAGAGTTTAAGGTATTAAGGATCCATGATAAATGACACATTCAGAAACATATATAAATGGTATCAAATCATTGTCCGTATAATAGTAATTAACCTTTACATACCTTTTGGATCTATAATATTCATAATGACTTCCAAAAATATCGAATTTTTTCAGTGTGCGACTTTTGGTTTTGAAACAATTGCCCACACAAAATATCCCTCTTTCGCTCTTTCCTTCTGCTTTTTGTTGCTATGCAAAAGGAGAGGAGAGAAAGGTGGGTGAAGAGAGAGAGGGGAAGTGAAAGAAGAGGTCGCAGCATTTGTCGCCATTTATTTACACGATTAGAAATCGATTTTGTGCGTTCCCATATAGAATTCCATATGAAATGACAGCCGAATCGAGCAAATACACCCAGACATACAGAAAAAGGGGGGTTGGGTTAGTCAAGGGGGCGTGGAATAAAGGGGCCGAACGAGTGGCATGTAAGGTCCCTCCTGTATGTGCCGTTATAATGATTTATGTTAAGCTTATTGCTCACACACACAAACTGAAGTCGAGGGTGTGTGCGACAGAGAGAGCATTAAATCGAAATCGATTTGTGGGCAGAGGAAAAGCAGAGCGAAGAAGAAGAAGCAGCAGATTTAACCACAGTGGCGGCATCTGGCGGTCAAAAGGAAATCGGAAATACAGCGGGAAATCGGAATTAAATCAAAATTTGAGTCCTAAATCAACATTGTTAACCGTTTGATAAGACAAGCTAATAAGGTTTCTAAAATATAAACAAAAAGTGGCAAAATATATTGTTTTCTATACTATTATTAAAATGGAAATTAAGTTATTATGTTTATCTTTAATAATATTTATTGTTTGCTTATTTGTCTGATTAAGTATTATGTGTGTTGTTTATTAACCAAAGCAATCAAAAATAGAATTTTACTATGAATTATATGGACCGAAATGGTTTAATTTTGTCTGATTATCTACAACATTTAGAATACACAAATCTTATTGCAGCTCTTTAAGTTATCCTCACAATTAGTGTCGTTCGTCAAATTTCTATTTTTAAAATACAGCCAACAAAAAAAACCAGCGGCTTATGTGTTTGAAAAAGAAACAAAACAAGGCAATAAGACAAAAAAGGCAAAGAGCACCTAAACCAATTGATTAACAAGTAAAAGTTCAACGCCGGCAATTAACATGCAAAGGAAAATAACGAAATATGCCAAGAAAAGAGAAGAAAAGGAGGAAGTGGGGGAGGAGAAGGTGGACAAGAGGGAAAAGGGCGAAGGGAAAAGCGTATAAAATAAAATCCAAACCCCAATCCACTTGCCGTTTTTTTACTTCTTTTTTCCTCTATGTTTTGTATACCCGTATTTCTGATGAACGATTGTGTGTGTGTCCGCGAACTCTAGTACGAAACTAGCCTGCCCCTTCCCCTTCTCCCCCCTACTCCACACCCTTTACAATTTATATACAAACTCCAAGAGCAAAAGCAAAAGCCATTCGTGCGCAAATCTCAAATAAAAGCGCGCAGAACCAGCAACAACAAATAATATCAGCAGCAACAACAATAAACGACGCCGACTTCTCTGCCGCTGATGAATTGTATTTGTATTTGTATGAGCCCAACACACACGCATAACACATGCGGACAGGGCGGGCCAAAAACACAAAAAACAAAACACAATATGAGCGCAAAAAGAAAAATAAAAGAAAAAAAAATTAAAGCAGAGGAATCGGTTTCGAGAGGTGAGTTGACTCCTCGAGGTGTCTTTGGCTCAGTCGCTGCCCCCTGCGTTTGTCACTGTATTTGTGGGAGTACAGTGGAAATTTCTGACATGGAATTGTTTATCTTAATTTTTCTTTGCCGCTTTTAGATGAGTTTTCTTTAAAACGTAAATAACTTGTTAGCTTGTAAGCGATCATTATAAAACAATTCCCTTTGAACCTGTACGTTATAATTCTCTGCACTAATATTTTAAATTTGGAAGTGAAACTATTATTTGGGTCAGCATGAAAATTGTATCACCATTAATTTTTTAATTGAATGAATGCAAGTTCTCCCCCACAGAATTTTTACTGTATTTTTGTATGTTTGCTCTGGCCAGTGTGTTTGTTTGTTGGTGTATTGGCCGCGTCGTGTGCCACTGCTTGTGGCGTTTTCCAGAGTTCGCCGTTCGCTGTTCGCTGCTTTCCATTGCTCACTGTCACCGAAGTCAAGCCGAAAAAACCAGCAACAACAAAAAGTCTATGCACCATGTGGAACGAAATGAAATGGAATGAAGGACTGAAATCGGCGACGCTACTTCTTTAGATTCTCTTTATACGCTTCGATTTTTCTGCCCATTTTATTTGTTTGCGGTTAAAAGGGGTGGGGGTGGAGTCGATGGGGTGGGGTGATGAAAAGGAGAGGGGATGTAATATTGAACTCAATTTAGGGGTGCCATATCATTATTACAATTTTAATTACATTTGAATATGAGTAATGGTCAGTTTCTAATTCTAACTCACCGTTCTTTAGTTGGCTTAACTGCTTATCGCTGATTGACTTCTTTGCTTTATTGCTGCCCAATCATTTGTCACCCACTCTCACAAACACACACTTATTTTTTGCATTTTTTTAACTATTTGCTTTTGATATTTCTCCTTTCTTTTCGCACACCCATACAATTTCGCCGCGGGCGTTATTCCTTTATATTTATCCGCCTTTTCCTTTGGCAATTATTTTCACTCAACTGTCACTCTGTTCCACCCGCACACGCGCAATTTCCAGCGTTTCGCGAGGTTTGCAATTTTTTTTGTTTTCTTTGTTGTTTGTTTTACTACGTTTTTGAATTGATTAATGAAACATATTCAAAAGACGCGACGACGCTCAGAAATCAATCATAATTGTTGTTTACTTCTTCGCTGATAGATTAGATTTGAATTAAGTTTATCGTTTTATCTTCTAGCACCGAAATTTAGCGTCCGACCGTTTCAAGATAGAGATGGAAAAACCTCGATGCCAACATCGATGTCACTGATGTTTTCAAATTATCGGTGATATCGATGTTTGGCCACACACAATCAATGTTCTTCCATCTCTAATGGGCATCGATAATCTCACTCCTGTTCTTTCGCTCTGTTAACGATTTCACTCCATTTCTTACGCACTATGTATTTCCCACTACAGTTCTTACGTCTCTGTTATTTTCCACTCCAGTTCTTACGCACTGTTAACGATTCCATTTCAGTTCTTACACTCTCTGTTATTTTCCCCTCCAGTTCCTACTCACGTTAACGATTCCACTCCATTTCTTACGCACTCTGTTATTGTCCACTCCATTTCTTACGTCTCTGTTATTTCCCACTCCAGTTCTTACGCACTGTTAACGATTTCACTCCTGTTATCTACACGGATTCTGCACATTTTTTGAACTACATTGGGAGGCTGGCAACGCCGGGATGGGGAGGGGCTTGAGGGGGGCAACGCTGGCAGTCTTGAGGGCATGATTTCGGTCGGGAGGCTTGGGAGCGTTTCCTGCGCTTTTCTGAGGAGGTCCCAGGGTCGTGGCGAATGTGGGGAAGCGGGGCGAAACTTTTGGGGGGTCTGACGCTGCGGTCCGAGTTCGCAAAACTGAGAAATTGGGGGAAAACCGGAAAAGTTCAGTTTGACGGTCTGGCAGCACTGTATTTTGCACATGGGTAAACTGGTAAGTGGGAAAACTGGTGTATTTGATCACTTTTCACGGAAAACTGATCTAGGCGACCTGCCCCCCACCCCCGGCTCCCGTCGAAAGCACTTTTTTCTCGCGGAAAATGCGGCGGACACACGGATTTCAGGTCCAGGCAGTGTGACCACCTTTGGGTTTAACGCAATTATAGGCGCTTTCTGGCCACTTTTGCAAGGCGTTACGGTACTTTCTGCGTTTTGTCCAAGGTGGTTACACAGTTTTTGCTCCGTCGTTCAAAGTTCTTAAGTTACCATGAGGCTTAAATTCTTTGCCATGCCGCACCTGCGCACCCAGGTGGACAAGCACCTCCCACAGGTGGATGATCCGTGCCGGCCAAGCGGGATTTTTAAGCACCTGGACGGCCTAAAACGGTTAAAGGATCACGGCAGATGTTTCTACTTGATGCTAGACGTCATACACCTGACTAGGGTGGGTACCTAGTCTTATGACAATTTACCTATTATTTAAACAATTTACGTACCCAACCGACGCCGGGACACACGGTGGTCATGCTGGGAACCTCAGATGGCGCACTCTGTTAGTTTTTACAACATTTACAGCGCACTATTTACCAAACAAAATACACTTTAATCATTAATACAATTATTAACCGCCGTTTAATTGACCTGATAATAATAAATACCAAAAGTAGCCAAGCTGCTCTCTTTTAAGGTACAGTTTCCAGGTAACTTCACCACCTGTCCACATACACATACCTAATAAAACGGGTCACTCACACACTCATGCTGCTTTTGGCCGTTTTCCTGTGACTCTTACCAAATCGTCAATTCTATATCAATTGGACCAGTCAAGCCACTTAAACGAAATGCAAATCCAATTTCCTGTGCAGCGGAATAGGCGGACAGGTGGTAAACTCGACGGATTAAGCCATTTCACGGTGTCTTAAGAATATGCACCTTAATTGCTGGCTTAAGTGATGGTTATGGTTATACCCATGCCTTTTTGTTTTAGGTATCTTGGAAACCAGACCTTTTTGTTGAATTAGTCATTTGTAATATTACAAAATTATTAATTTTGTTTTTAAACAATCATAAAGTAATGATTTCTTGCTTTTTGAAATAAATCTAAAACTTCACTCGATTCTTTTGCAACTATTTGCAAACAGATTTGTTAGCGCCATCTAGGTTTCAAGATATACATATCTTTGACTCACATCAACAGTTATTACTGAACTCTTTTGGTAACTTTTGAAAATGAGTGGATATATGAAAAAACAAATTATTGAGAAAATGTTGTAAATAAAATGATTTACGAATTTTGCTTATAGCACGCTTGCGCTTTCAGCACTTAAGAAATAAAGTATTAAAAAATATCTTTAGTTCGTTTCGGAATTCAATTAAATGGAACACCTTTAACTTTCGACTCATTAAAAATGAATTACTAAAATGCCTAAATACATTAGATCATTCAAATAATTACAATAAAAAATATAAATGTTTTAATTTAAAAATGGCATTTAAAGATACCCATCGGTTTTTAAGAGATCGTAGAGTAAAGTAGAGCATCTGTGAAGGTAAAATGGAGAAAAGCCGTATAGAATGTTGTTTTAATGTGAAACCCCCTTTTAATTCAAGTAGAAACACCTGCGAGGTATCAATAACAAATATTTACTTTAATGGTAAAGGCAATAATAAGCTAAACTACGAGCCGGGCTTAGAAGTTGAACGTGAGCGGGTGGACGGGGAAGTAGCCCTTGCTCTTGTTCAATTGTTTGGACAGTCGCACCAGGTTGTTGTCATTGTTGACGAAATTACCGGCATAGATTTCGGTGCAGAGGGTGCGGACGCGATCCCTTCCTTCCGAGCAAATCGCCGTGGCCGTCAACAGCTCGTGATCCGCCAGGGGCAGTCCAATGCAATAGGATCGCGAAGCTCTCGCCACACTGGCCCACATGACGTAGATGAGGGTGCCCACCTCCGCCAGTCGCTGCATTTCGCTCTGGCGCTCCACCACTGCATTTCCATGTCGGGTGAACATCAGCTCCACAGCCATTTGCAGACGGGCCACCGAATGCTCAATGCACTGGGCCGCCGCCTCCAATGTAGGATGCACATGCTCCGAAAGCTGCATCTTTGTCTTGGGGTTGTCGATGCTGTTGGTGTCCAGGAATTTACCGAAGATGTGGCCAGGATGGAAGAGGGGATTTCTAGACTTCCGCACGCCTGTGTTCATGGCTTGCTGGAAAATATTTAAGGATTTAAGAATCAATTGGTGTTTTACAAGTACCACAAAACTCACCCCCGCATGCTGCAATCCTGTGAGGGAGATGAACATGCCCAGGGTGTCCAGAGATTCACCCTGCGTGCACAGCTGTGCTGCATCTCGTAATCCCTGCTCTGTGGCCTCTCCGCCGAGCAGACTCTTGGGTCCCACGAGTCCAAGATTCTGGGAGGCAATGTCGTACAGCTGCCGCAGGGTGAAGTACTTGGTGATGGCACTCTCCAAGGTCACATCCTGGACACGGAACTCGTCCAGCAGGCCGGCGGTCATGTAGAGCATGCTCTCCATTGCGTATACCGAGCACATGGCTCGCGAAAGGTGGACACGGGTGAGCTCCAGGTCTCTGTGGTGTATAAAAGACTTTGTATTACAAAATATTTAAGAAAGAAAGACAACAATTAGAAAGTTTAGGATATATATGTCAAATATTATATAAAGTATACCTTAACTTTAACTACGCACATAAAATATGTTTAAGGAAGATTAAGGGAATTAAACAGTATTAATATAATCTAAAAAAAACAATAATATAAAAAAGGTTGAAGCTTAATTAGAGTCATAAAAAAGTCAAGTATAGAAACCCATTCCTTAAGATTTGGAGATCATGGAACCCTTAAGTACTTCACTACTTACTTTAATTGGACTCCACATTGAGTGGTTGTCACACTGTACTGGGCCAGTCCGTTGAGCAGCTTCTTGGCCAGGGACACGCCCACCAGGCTGCTCCTCAGTCGGGATGCTCTGACCAGTTGCTCGGCACAACGATTGCCATCGTGTGGAATGCCCACCACCTGCTCCTCGCTCAATTGCACCTTGTCGAAGTGTACACGTCGAATTTCTGCTTCGCGGCAACCAAAGGTGGCATGTTTCTCACCCAAACGCACACCTTCCTGCTGGGAATCCACCAGGAAGATGGTGGTGCCACGTCCCAGATCTCCCGGGACATTTGGGTGCTGCGTTTGGGCGAGGACCAGAAAGAGCTGTCGTTCTCCGGGAGTGCAGACCACATAAGCTTTTTCGCCATTGAGTAGCCACTTTCCGCTTTCGGATAGTAACTCTGCCTTGGTGCTAAAGTAATCCTCCTCGGGTGCGGTATACTCGTAGATAGCTTCCGTGGCTATCAGTTTTCCAAGGGCTAAATCCTGCAGATATCGCTGCTGCTGCAGGGGAGTACCCACTTCCTTCAGGAGATCCACAACCACGCGGTGAGCTTGTAGGCCCAGGGTTAAATCCGTATGCGTGGAATCTGGTTCACTGGCCATCAGACTGGCACTCCATCCGTAACCCCTGCCATCGAAATCCGTGGGCACATTCAGACCATAGAGTCCCAATTGCCGGAGAGTCTCCGTGGATGTCTTCTCCTCCGTTTCCCGGGGCTCCTCAAAGTAATTCTTCAACGGCAGCAGGGCATTCTGCAGCTGGGACATCTCCTCGCGGGGAATCACCTCCGGATAGGCCAGCAGCTCCTTGTCAACGACTCCAATGAAGAAATTCTTGGCCAGCGGCTCCCTGGTGGGCAGTTTTTGTTGCTGTTCCGGCGACTCCTCGACGGATTCCGTCTTTCCACCCTCGGTGGTCGCCGCATCCTGGTGCTGCGAGTCCAAGCTGCTGGAGGTCGCCTTGGTGCTCCTTCCCCGAGTCAGAAGTTTTCCATTCCGGCCGTATTTCAAGAGCCGCGAGGCGCCGGAAAACAAATTGGATCGCATATTTACCAAAAAATTAGGTAATTTTAAAGTGGGACCAGGTCAAGATGGGCAAATATATACTAAAACATATGACCGGTACTTGCTATAAATCTCCTAAGGCATTGCTCAGCTGTTCGATATGCTATAAAAATTTGAAAATTATAACAGACCATTTGGTATTTTAAATAACGAAAGGAATACAAAATATAAAAAGCATTTATAATTGTGCATTTTAAAAAATCACAGTTAAATCACTATATGCAAAGGAATTTAGGTACAAATTTAGCGATTCAACAATTTAATTAATTTTCAAAAATGTGCTCATATAATTATACTTCAATGAATCAAAAAAAAAAACAATTATTTAATCAGAACTATTTATTTATTATTTTTAATTGCGAAACTTATAGTTGAATATACCCCATTATTCAAATGAAAAACACACGTTCCCTTTATTGAATCATTGTATTGTATATTGGTGTTATTGTTACACATATAATTGCTATTGACAGCGCACATTAAGCTCTCTACTTAAAACAAATTGAACAAAGTAAATTGTATGATTCCCAGTCGATGGGTTCAATGCATGTTCCCATCGACTTTGCTTTATTGTTTCGCTTGGATTTTTTTTTCGAGTTTTCCTCTTTTTTTTTTTGTTTTCTAAATGTAATGTTTTATTTGTTTTTCATACCACCTAGATTGAAAATTTGTTAATAGCTGTGTAGTACGTTGTTATACAATAGTTATAGTCAGGTATCAATTGGAAAATAAGAATTTGGTTAGAATTCAACACATCTAGATCAGTATAGTAGTCGTATTATTGAAGTACAGATGTGCTTGAAGTTAGCAAGGGACTTTCCTACAATCCCCCGATTGCATGGCGTGCAAATAAACTCCAAGCACTTGTTGCATATGGAAAACAACACAACAGGGAAACTAATATGTAGTTTGTAAACAAAAAAAGGAAAACGACAAAATGTAATCGTCAATTGTATTTAACTAAAAACTCTATTATAAATACCCCCCCACATGCAGCTCATATCGTATCACAGGCACGCTTAATAGACACTCTCAGAACGGAAATACCAAATTAAAATCGAAAGTAGAAGGTTAATTCATTTCAAACTTGCACTCAATGAAGGATTTTTTAAATTTCTGTGGTTAAAACACTCTACACACTAACAACAACGATCGATATGAGCGCGCATCAACCCATGCTCCTTATTCTGCCCCAAAAACCCTACTGCAAATCGCTACCTTCTCCACAAAATTGCATTTAAAATTGCTGACGCTACTCGACGATTATACATATGGTACATAAATATATATTTAAATATATATATATTGTATGTGATATCTGCATGCATGCCTTATATACGTAGTTATCTCCCTTGCGTTTTCACACTCACACATTGCATAGTTTTTTTTAGTATTGCTAATTGCTCCGCTTGCTCCCCATCATGTGGACCCCCAAAGATATAGAAATAGATTCGGAGATACAATTGCAGTTCCAAAAACGGATACAGATAGTTTTGCTTCGCTCGTCTGACCGACTGACTGACCGACCGGTTCCGATTGCTTTCATATTCAACATTTTTACTCTCGTAATGTTTTTTCACACACATTTTCCAGTAATTCAAATTCAAACTAAACGAATAATAGAACCTCCTGCGAGGTGGAATACCAAAAACGAATTTTAAAAAAAACTAAGCTTAGGGATAGATTAAACGATAACTAGTAAAGCAGTTGGTTGGTTGTCACAAACACACACACAGGAGTTTGTTTCGTCTCCTGCCCTCCGCCACCGCATGCTCCTCCTCCTCCTTCTCCTTCTCCTCATCCTTCTCCTCCACCTCCTACAATTGGTATCTGGGCCACTGCCAGAGATCCCGAGGCTCTCGATGCTGCTGCCATTTATCCTGGAGCTGCTTGCACAGGCGGCGCAACAGCTCGAAGGTGCCGCCCAGGGCTCGCAGTAGCTACTAAATCCTGCCGGCACTCTCCTGTCGCGCACTGTAGCGCGGCTCGGCGGGCATCATGGTGTCCGTCACCAGCTCGTTGGGTGCCTCCAAAACGCCCTTTGCATGGGCAGCCGCCGTATCGCAATCGGTGCGGCGTGAGATCAGCAGTCGAATGTCCGTGTGCAGGCACAATCGTCCGGAGCGAGATGTCTGGAACCTGGGGATCACAAAAGTGGTGTTAGTTAAGAAAAATATCTTTAAAAAGTTCGTGTAAAGCTGGTTGTAAACGATGCAGCGGATGCATTTATATTATTTGTTTTCTTTAGGCCCTTATATGCAGTAGCTTAATCGTTTACAACCCCTTAAAAAACACAAATCATTACCTCAGGTGTATGGAGTAGCGCAGCCGCTTCATTTGCTCGGCACTGATAAAGTGACCCAGTTTGCTGGTGGTGCTAGTAACCGTGGGACTCCTGGGCATCTTCGGTCCAGCGTCCTGATCCTGACTGAGCTCCTCGGCCAGGATGCGCTGCCGGATGAAGGTGCGGTGCAGCGGTGGCATGTCCCGCATGTCGTAGGGTATCACAAACATCCGCACCACCGTGCCCATCGGATTCAGCAGTGTGGCCTGCACCGTGCCCGTCCTCGGAACCGAATAGCCCTTGCGCGGCAGACGAATCTCGCACTGAAAAAGAGATTTTACCATATTCGAATTACAGTTGAACTTCCGTAATTCCAGATTTCTGAAAAACCTAACTAAATTGAAGGAAACACAAAGCGTTAAACTCGGATAATGGATATTTCCTTTTGGCGTATGGGACTAAATTTTGCATCTTTAAAGTTTTTAAGTACAAAACTGAAACCAACGAATATTATAGCATAATCGTTTTTAAACTATATATATGTTTATCTAAATAACTGATACACATTTCAACATGAAAATCAATTTTTCTTTCCATACATCTTCAAAAAGTCCGTAAAAGGGTATTTGGTTGGCCTTTAAACCTACTAACGTTTCTTTTTTAAATGGACTTACCAAATAGGGCGTGCTCAGTGTCTCGCCATGCAGCTCGTAGAAGTAGGACACCGCCGGTATGGTCAGTTGGGTGGGGCAGAATCCTCCAGAGGCTCCCAACTGCAGCTTGAAGCCCATCACCTCGATCTTGGGCATGAGCCTCCTCTGCAGCAGAGATTCCTCCAGATTTCCCAGCAAAGGACGCCCGGCGAAATGAGCCGCCAATCTGGCGCGACATTTCAATGGGGATCCACCCGCTGGACTGCATAGACCAGATTCCAAGTCCTCATCCGACAACTGTTCATCGGAGCCCAGAGAACTACGATCGCTGCGATCGCTCAAATGGCGGGAACGCCGCTTGTGGGCGGCCAGCGCCTGTTTGGCGAATCTAGGCGACACGGACAGAGAGGCTGCATGTGGCAATGTTGGAGCAGAGAAGGATTTCTGCACTGAGGGTGTGGCACTCGCATCCGGAGCCAGCAACTGCGAGTGGGCGTGACTCAAGGCAGCTGGATCGAAACTAAAGGCGGGACATCCAATGGCAATGGGAGCCGAACTGCAGAAGATCGTCGTAAGGTTCACTTTCGGCAAGGCCTTTCGCATTTGTGGCGAGATATTTGGTGGCGGGGTTTCGCTCTCCAACAAACCACTACCACAATTCAATCTAAGCTGACTGGGCTTCGGTGAGGATTTGCCCAGGTGTTGCTGCTGCAGTGGCACCATCGCATCCGGTTGAGGTTTCGCCGGCACATGGCTCAGCGGCGTCTTGAACTGCACCACTATGTGGTCAGCCACGCCGGGCGGTGGTGTCTTGCAGCGCTCTGCGGAATTCAGGGAGCAGCGTTCGATGTTGGGCGTCAGCTTGGTGGAGGAAATCTGCAAAAATGACTTTATTTGAAGGGAAGATTCTTTGGAAAAGAGTGCAAAACTCACCTGAACCTCCGTTTGCTTCTCTGGCTCCTGCTGCATGCTGCCAAAACCATTGCTCGAGTGCTCTCCATTGGTGGGTTGGTGGTCCTTGCCATTCGCAAAGTTGTGCTGCGTCTTCTGCCGTTTGCACACCTGACAGCCACTGCTAGCGGGCGTTGCCTTCGCCAGATTGTTGTTCTGCCCTCCATTGAGATCTGAATTGCGACAGGAGGCTGCTCCTGGAGCAGCGTGTCCCACCGCCTGGTGGGGCTTTCGATTCCGGTTCTTTGGCGTGCGCTGAATGGCCTGGAGTAGGAGCTCTGCCTTGTTGCGAGGTGTGCCCACGATGAGATCACTGCTACTAAGGCTACAAGTGGAGGTCTCCTCCATTTCGGAGGCTGTTGTATCGCTATCATCGGCTTCGTCTGTTTCTCCTGCTCCATTTGCCGATCTATTGGCTGATCCATTTCCAGCTCTATTTCCTGATCCATTGGCCGCTCTGCTAGCTGATCCATTAGCACCTCCATGTGGTGATCCTTCGCTTCCCGTGCAGCTAAGACATAGCAGAGTCTTCTCACTGCCACATTGTTGGCAGCTGCTCAAGGAAGTCTGCGTGCCTGTGGAGATCATGGCAATGCGCCTTGGTTGCTGCAAAGTCAAGGCCAGGGATTGGGTTTCCGACGGCGTCAGAGATTGCGATTGCGAGTCCTCGCCCTCCTCCATGGGTTCCTCGGTTTGGTGTGGGTTTAATCCCCTTTCTGGCGTCGATTTCCTCTCCCTCTTCTTGTCCCTTCGCTGCATTCGCTTGCGATACTTCTGCAGCTGCCTCTCCCGGTGGCTCAAACTCGAATCCCCATCGAGTTCGTCCAATCCCTGTCCCATTCCTGGTTTTCCATTATCACAGTTGGAGCCGCCGGCCGTTGTCGTTGGGGTGAGTGCACTAATCCTGGCTCCCAGGCCAGTCGGCGTGGCGGCATGTAGTCCACCGCCTCCAGTGGGCGTGCTAGCCGTATCTCCGCCGCGGGATCGCAAGCTCCTGGGAGCTGGAGTGGGTGGCAGTGGCTCTACATGCGGCAAGCCACCGTTTATCCTCGGCAAACTACGCACGCTCACCGAGATGCTGTAGCTCTCCGACACATTGACGTTGGGAAAATTGTGCACATTGGCCTTGGCACTGAAGCCATCCTCCTGGTGTAGCCCACTATTGCTGGTGTTGGTGTTGTGCTGCTTGATCCTGTAGAAGATGTTGAGACGCGGTCTCTTTTGACCAGCACTTGGTGTAAATGTGGTGGCCAAATCTCCTGCATTGTTTCCGCAGCTGGAGAAGATCACGCGGCCACTGTCGTACACCGAAGGATCGCATTTCCGGAGGAGATCACACCAGGCCACGATCTGGGAGAAGTACAACTGACTCCGAATAGCGCTGCACAGCGAAGGCAACGTCATCGTGGGTGGAGGAACTCTGTAAAAGAAGCACGATCTCGTTAGTTAACTGGATTAGGTGGTTCTTTCATGGTTTCACAACTTACTTCTCCTTGCCGCTGATGATCCACTGCTCCAGCAAGAGCTTATGGCTCACAGGACCCAGATAGACTTCTATGCAAACGGGTTCACGTCTGGCCAGGATGGCCTCCATCTTCATGCAGTATGACCGCCAACGATTGCACTGAAATAAGTGAGACATGTTGTGTTAATTGATGGATGTGGATGTCTAATAAATCATTGGTTGATATTTATTTGTACAGTTAAGAACAAATTGTATCTAGATCCAAATTATTAATTCATTAAATATTATTACTTTAAAGCTATCAAGCTTTTATTCATTTGTTTTATGAAATATGTATTTATTTAATGATGATTGATTGTTAAATGAATAAGGTTGTGAAACAAAACAATAATGATTAAGACTTAGCAATGTCTAGATAAAGTGCTACATTATATATTTGCTGTGGATTTTTCAAGCTTTTTGAAACTCATAGAATGTCAAATAATTTATTAATGAATTATTCAACTTAAAAAGGGTAGAAATTATAAGAATCTAAATTTACTGCATTCTAAACTTTAAATCTTAAATGCTTATAGTTGATCTCATAAATGTTGTTTCTTTTATTACTATAAAAATATTCTCGAAACTTTAAGACTTACGGTCATATTCACGTAGGACATATCACAGATGTGCTCCTCAGCCTCCGATGGCATCTCGCCCTTGGCCAGACCCATCTTCCTGAGGAACTGATCACAGTGCGGCCCGTGTTTGGGCCGCGATGCGGAGCTAGTTGCTCCGCTGCTGGCAGTGGCAGTTGCCGTTGTTGTTGTTGTGTTGCTGATGCATGCTGCTGCTGCTGTTGCTGCTGCTCCTCCTCCTCCTCCTCCTATTCCCATTCCCCTGCCACCGGATCCGCCCGATCCTGACCATAGAAAGGCCAGATTCAGGGGACGTGGCTCAACAGGTGGTGGTGCCAAGGCGGGTCCACCTCTCAAACATGTGGTGGCCAGCGATTGCAGCGAGTGGAGGATGTTGTCCGATGAGTTGGAGCCCGGTGAGCTGGCGGCACTGGAGTTGTTGGTTCCACCACCACCACCACCAACACTTGTACTGCTAACCGAACCCATTCCACCAGCTCGATTGAGCATAACTCGCCGCACAATCTCGTAGTCGCCGTGATCCTTGTTGAGATCATTGATGGCCAGGGAAACCAACTCCGGTTCGGCACTCATTGTCTGGGCAGCTGGGGAAATCTGACGCAACTGGCAGAGTTTCTGCGTCCAGCGCTGGTGGGTTAGGGAACTGCTGGGTGACCCCGCCGATCCACTTCCATTGCCCGATCTATTTTCCGATCCTCCCATGGAACCATAGGGATTCGTTGTGATGTTGATGGCCGCCCTGGAAGTGGAGGGTCGTGGCGAGAGTCGTCCTCCGCCTGCTGAAACTCCACCAGATCCTGTTGCTACAACTCCCACCTGCTGCTGCTGCTGATACTCATCGTCTGCGATGGGTCGGCCCTCTAGGATTAGCGATGCCAGGCCCAACACAACGGAGCTGTAGTTGTTCTGAGCTCCTGATCCCCCATTTGACACAACAGCGGATATCCCCATTCCCAAGCCGGACAACATCCCTCCACCCGCCGCCGTTGCCGAGCCCAAGGAGGCAGCTGCTCCGTTCTGGCCCAATCCCGCTGGTGGGGGCGAGTTGGTGACGCTGGTGGGTATCATGGTCGGTCGGTTGCTTGCTGTCCGATGGATCTGGATCTGTTTCCGGTTCCGATTCCGATTCCTCTAGCTATTGCTGCTGCTTCTTGCACCAGAAGTACACTGCAATTGAAGAAGGAAATCGTTAAATCAACATATTTATTAAATATCTCATCAAATTAAAACACTTGATCTTTTACATATTTAGTTGAAACATATTTGTATCTGAAGTAATACTAAGATACAATCAACCGAATACAATTGTCATTATTAACACAGAATAAAGCTGTATTGTTGTGTGACTTTAATAATGATGCAATGATAATTGCAATGAGATAATGCAAGAATCTTAGAAGAAAGAAAGTATTTATTGTTGGAAATAATTGTAGATTTGTTAAATACACAATGAACCCGTGAGAAGTTAAAAAGACTTGTATTTAAAGATTCAAAGTAATTTCCATTTTGAAGCTATAGTTATGCTAAATAGTCGAAGTTGTATAATAATAAACACTCTTGGAACTAAAAGCTAAAGTTGTTTTTATTTTAATGTTATGGGTATGTAAAATAGTCGAAGTTGTTAAATAATAATCATTCTAGGAAAAAAGTTGGTGTTATATAATTTTTGCTATTAACTCTATTTGAATTTCAGTCAAGAAAAGTAAAGCTATTGAAGCTTAAATTGTCCTCCAACTTCTAGTTATATATCCTTGACTTCATTACGAAATCGGCAAGGCTGCTCTATAAATAAGCCCAGCAACAGATGCAGCTGGCAGATTTCGGCCCCACCACCCACTGCAACTGGTGAAGGTCGAATGGCGAGGAGAAGAGCACCCTCAACTTGAATCGAATCCCCAAGGTCCGACCGCTATGTACTTGGCATTATGTACTGCTGACATGGTTTACTTTAGTTTATCCTTCCGATACGGAAGCAACAAAAGGCCAGTAGTAGAGTTCTTTTGGCCAATTGTTAAACTGCGACACACTGACACGGCCCCATTTTGGCCTGAAATCATCATGTGAACTGCACTAAGCACTGAACACATACTAATAGCCGAGAAAAAAAAAGCAGAGTTGGAAACCAGGTCGTTACTTAACCGGAGACCCAGTTAAGAGCAACATGTCAGCCGTTTGGCAATGCACAATGCATCACCACCCCCTGCTCTTCCGCCCCCTTAAAATTCGCACGGGCCGACAGCTAACAAATACAAACAACATGTTGCTAACAACGTGACGTCATTGAGCCAAGCTTTGCAAAAGCATTGCATTGGTATTAGTGTGTATCTGAGGTTTTGAAGGTCGTTTTGAGGCGCCTTCTATGAGAATACTCTATAAGAGAGTTTTTAGTTTTAGCTTAACAAGTTTTAAGACAAGTTAATATTATTTTAGAATTTAAAAACATAATTCAAGATAGATATAAAAAACGTCTAATTCTTGAATACTTCGATTGTTTTATTTTATTTTTATTGGATTATTGGATTTGGATAGACAAATTAAAAATAATAAAAGTCTCTCTCAAAAAAACTTTAACTACAAAATGAATTCATCGCTTCCTTAAATTTAATTATTTGTAAATTCTATTATAATTATCCAACCAATGGAGATAATGGACCTTAATTAATATAATTTTGGTTATCAATGCAATTATTGGCAAAGCTTTGGGAAGAGCACAAAAGCTAATTATTGTGCAAGCTCTTCTTGTTTTTTTTTATTTGTTTGCTAAAACTTTGCTTGGCAACAGTAAAATTTCAAATCAAAAAATAAAACCAAATTAAGAGGCAAACATGTGTGGCTGTGGCGTGCAACATGTTGCTAGGGAGAGTAAGAGCAAGATAGAGAGCGCGCTCTTCGGTAAACATGTTTGTCTTTACTTTTGCTTTTGTTTTTGCGTTTCTTCTTGACCTGCATACACAATAACAATATATAACTAGCGCGCGCGAGACAGACACAGATACATAAGGCGAAAAGAAGAGAGCGAGAGAGCTTTTGCCTTCCATCTGTGTTTGTATTAGAAAACATCTGATTTTTGTATTGCTTTGCAATGTTTGCTGTGCGAGCGTATGTGTTGGGTTTTGTTTATGGCACATTCACGTATATATATATAAAATACTCTTGGCCCACAATAGACACATTCCCACATACAGACGAGAAAACCCGTATGAAAATGGGGACAAGCGAACGGAACCCCAGAGTTTAATAATATTTCGATTACATTATGGCCAATTTTTCTTTCCCTCCCTTTCAGCTGTCCATTATCATTTACATTTCTTCGCAGGCGGAAAATTCGCTTTTCACCCGAAAATTGAAAATTTACTCGATGACGCAGTGGAAACGCGCTACGATTTTCAAGGAAATGACGAACATGGAAAATCGCTGGGGACACATTGAGAAATATTGGATTTAGTCGACCTTTTAGGCGAATATATTTTTGGCAGACACAAAATACGTCATTGGATTTTGGTTGAAAATTTAATATATCAGGAGCTATACAATGTAATATGTATAATATTATATTTTGAAGAAAAGTTGACCTAATATATAATATATACAACAAATTATTTATTAATTAAGCATTTTTTATAAAATTTCACACTTATCGGCAATTTAGAAACACACTTTTATATTTCGACTGTTAAATTGGATTATTTTTGTTTTGCAAGCTAGAAAAAGCTAGCTAGTTGCTGATTGGTAGATTGTAGTGTAATAATTGGCACTAGGAAATCTTTAATTCTCGTTGAAATAATTGCTTTTTAAGGTAAAAACAGATGCAATAGTAATTGGCAGCGAATTAAAGAAACAGCAATTAAGTTGATCGAAAAAAGTTTGTCATATGGCTGTGTTTCCACCTTTTTCCTCCTCGATTGGCACACTTTGTTGATTATTTTCTGCACTTCTTGGCAATGTGATCGAGCAGGTTGAAAATGGTAGGAGGTGAGGGGTCGGGAAAGGGGGTGGGCAGGGGGCGCATTGTTGGACTAATTTCATTTAGCTCGGCCACCGTCCTTGGCATGCTTTTTGATTTTGCAACACGCTGCATTTGTGTTCGTAGATTGTCTTGCTTGAATTATTTATTTATTGCACATTTTCGTTTCATTTGATTTTTTCTCATTTATTATTACGTGTTTTTCTCTTTTTTTGACGCACATTACAAAATTTGATTACCAAGCGGAAAATGCAGGCGAGGCGAATGGTAAAAGGAAAACGAATGCGAACGGGAATGCAAAATTGACACTGATGCTTTTATACTCATTACTGTAATTATTTTAAAACCATGTATAAGTTGAGTCTATATTATTTATATTTAATTTTTTTTTTTAATTATACCTTGGATTCCAAAGTCGTACTATGACATTTTATTTTAAGAAAGCTTATACAATTATTTTAAAGCCACAGATAGCTAAAATCTTTCAAATCTCAAACTTCATCATTTGAAAAAGTTTTGAATGATTATTTTTTAAATGAGACGAACAAAATTGCAAAGAAATTGTCATAAAATATATATAACACATTGATACCCCTTACAAGGGTAACAAAATCGAACACGAATACCGAATTTTTAAAGGCGCGCCAAGCGGAGTGAAAGGCAGGTAACGAAAACCACCGCCAGGGGCGCTGCGCAAAAACAGAAAAAAAACCTGTTCAAAGCAGATTAAAAAAAAAGAAAAAACACCGCGAGTGGAAAATTGTTATGTTGCAACTTTTCAAAAAACAAGTTCCGTTCGCCTTTCGTTTGTTTTGGGGTTTCCTTTTCTGCGTCCCCCTTTTCGGCATTATGAAACAAAAAAAGTTAACACGTGAGTGCAACGAAAGCCACAAACAAAGACAACTTTTTTATTTGCCTTTAACATCATCTTATATGATTGTGTTTCACTTTAGTCATCCCGCTGAATGCGTCATGATGAAGTTTAATTATACTTATTCTCGTTAGCTGAAGAAATTTGTTAAGTGAAGGATGTGTCATCAAAGCGGAAGCAGTATGAGTTTATTGAGTTGGAGTGGGAAGATCAGAATTTTTTTTGCGTTTGATTTTGATTGTTTTTGAGAATGTAAGTTTTGAGTAAAAATATATATTTTTAAATTAAAAAGGTTTAGTGGTAAAAAAAGATTTATACTTCATATCATATCATGATCAACACAAGTTGGTGTTTTGAGAAACGTAAGCACCAATGCGTCTGTCAGAAATTTTTCTGTGTCTTATAAAATTTTCATTTCCAAGAAAGACGACAAAACAATCGTTTTTCCAAACATTGATTGACCTCGCTGTCGACCTTACAAAAAGCCCATTCCTGTGTTTGTGTACGTGTTTGAATACCCATGTGGTGGTGACCCTCCCAATCATAAACCTTCACAGCTGAGCGAGCTTTGCTTTTTTTTGTTTGTGTTTCTAGGGGGCCGCACCTTCAATGGGTTACATGTACCCTCCCCTTTTATCACCCATCCTCTCTATGCATATATCTGAATTTCTCTCTTACAAAATAAAGAACATATTGTAGGGTGACATGACTTATCAGCATGGACATTCGATATTAGATTTTTCATGTTACACTGGTACACTATATAAATTTCAGGTTAGTCTGAGTATTTCCTTTATTCAAAATGGGTGCCTACTAAATTTGTCTGCAATACAATTGTTTTTATACAAGTTCTAATAAGAAATAGTGGTTTGGAGTTTGTGATATAAATTGAAAATCTAAATCTAAAAATATAACAAAATAATCTCAAAAAATAATAATCGCACAATTATTCACACACTAACCATCACTGCATTTAATACCAAAACAAAACTAGTCAAGGTCTACGAAATCCTCATTAACTTACCTTTCAAAACTTTGTTAAAATTCCATTTTTTTTGCTTTTTGCTGAAATGAAAAGAAAAAAAAATTATGGTTAGAAAAGGAATTCTTTGTAATTAACTAGAGATTATTTGATCGGATAACGTAACGTTTAAATTAAAGCGTAATTATCAGTTTTTTATACCCTTGCAGAGGGTATTATAATTTTGGTCAGAAGTTTGTAACGCAGTGAAGGAGACGTTTCCGACCCCATAAAGTATATATATTCTTGATCAGGATCAATAGGGGAGTCGATATAGCCATGTCCGTCTGTCCGTCTGTCCGTCTGTCCGTCTGTCCGTCTGTCCGTCTGTCCGTCTGTTTCAATACCGTTTGCGAGCTCAGTTTAAAAGCTAGCGATCTGAAACTTTCACAATCGTCCTAAAACATGTGTACGCAGATCAAGTTTGAAAATCGCCCCGATCGGACGTCTATATCCTATAGCTCCCATAGAAACAATTGGATATATCTTGCAAGAATTTATGATATTTCGCGCAGTGTAAAAGCTATTGACATTAATCTTTACAAATCGTATTTTTTTATGCATACCTTGATCAGGGTAAAAGCGCGTGGCGATCGGACGTCTATATCCTATAGCTCCCATAGGAACAATAGGGTAAAATCGGTTAAAATTTAATGATTTTTAGGATATTTCGCGCAGTGTAAAAGCTATTGACATAAATCTTTCCAAATCTTATTTTTTTATGCGTACCTTGATCAGGTTAAAAGCGCGTGACGATCGGACGTCTATATCCTATAGCTCCCATTGGAACAATAGGGTAAAATCGGTCCAAATTTTATGCTTTTCAGAATATTTCGCGATGTGTAAAAGCTATTGCTGTACATTTTTTCAAATCGTAATTTTTTATGCATTCATTCATCAAGGTAAAGGCGCGTGCTGATCGGACGTCTATATCCTATAGCTCCCATAGGAACAATACGGTGAAATCGGTCAAAATTTCATGTTTTTTAGAATATTTCGCGCAGTGTATAAGCTATTGACACACATTTTTCCAAGTCTTATTTATTTACGCATACCTTGATCAGGGTAAAAGCGCTTGCCGATTGGACGTCTATATCGTATAGCTTCCGTAGGAAAAATTGTTAAAGGCTGCGAAAATATCCCTTTTTTCCCTATTTGTATATGACAATTTTGCAGTATAAAAGCTATTGGCATGAAACTATGCAATTTATCTAATTTATTTATGTACACCTTGCTCAGGGTAAAAGTTGCTGCCAATCAGACAAGTACATACTACATCCGCTATTTAAAAATTAAATTAATTACGTATAGCTAATCTTTTTATACCCTTGCAGAGGGTATTATAATTTTGGTCAGAAGTTTGTAACGCAGTGAAGGAGACGTTTCCGACCCCATAAAGTATATATATTCTTGATCAGGATCAATAGGGGAGTCGATATAGCCATGTCCGTCTGTCCGTCTGTCCGTCTGTCCGTCTGTCCGTCTGTCCGTCTGTCCGTCTGTTTCAATACCGTTTGCGAGCTCAGTTTAAAAGCTAGCGATCTGAAACTTTCACAATCGTCCTAAAACATGTGTACGCAGATCAAGTTTGAAAATCGCCCCGATCGGACGTCTATATCCTATAGCTCCCATAGGAACAATTGGATATATCTTGCAAGAATTTATGATATTTCGCGCAGTGTAAAAGCTATTGACATTAATCTTTACAAATCGTATTTTTTTATGCATACCTTGATCAAGGTAAAAGCGCGTGGCGATCGGACGTCTATATCCTATAGCTCCCATAGGAACAATAGGGTAAAATCGGTTAAAATTTAATGATTTTTAGGATATTTCGCGCAGTGTAAAATCTATTGACATAAATCTTTCCAAATCTTATTTTTTTTATGCGTACCTTGATCAGGGTAAAAGCGCGTGACGATCGGACGTCTATATCCTATAGCTCCCATAGGAACAATAGGGTAAAATCGGTCCAAATTTGATGTTTTTCAGAATATTTCGCGATGTGTAAAAGCTATTGCTGTACATTTTTTCAAATCGTATTTTTTTATGCATTCCTTCATCAAGGTAAAAGCGCGTGCTGATCGGACGTCTATATCCTATAGCTCCCATAGGAACAATACGGTGAAATCGGTCAAAATTTCATGTTTTTTAGAATATTTCGCGCAGTGTATAAGCTATTGACATACGTCTATATCCTATAGCTCCCATAAGAACAATAGGGTGAAATCGGTCCAAATTTGATGATTATCAGAATATTTCGCGCAGTGTGTAAGCTACTAACATAAAATTTTCCAATTCTTATTTATTTACGCATATCTTGATTAGGGTAAAAGCGCTTGCCGCTCGGAAGTCTATATCTTAAAGGAGATAGTAAAAATTGTTAAAGGCTGCGAAAGTATCCCTTTTGTATATGACATTTTTGCAGTATAAAAGCAATTGACTTGAAACGATGCAAATCTAGTTTACTTATGTATACCTTATTCCTTTCGCTACTTTTTCACTTTTAGCAATTTCGTCAAAGTCTGCAAGGGTATTAAAACTTCGGCTTGCCGAAGTTAGCTTCCGTCCTCGTTTTTATTTACAAAGAGTGAGACACCCTGATTCTCTTACACAACAAGGTCTCTCCTCCTCCCCCTCTTTCTGAATCTCATTCTCTCACCCACATTCGCCTGCTGATGCTGACATGTGCGCAGTAAAATAAAATAAAAATAAAAACAAAAAACAAAAAACAGAGGCAAAATCAAAGCGAGCAAAAACAAAAAAAAAAGGCAAAGCAAAAATGTAAACAAAAGCAGTCCAGTTATGGTGCTCTTCTTCTTCTTCCTCCACGTGTATGTAAGGGGGGAGGCGAGCGAATGTATGTGTGTGTAATGTGAGAGCACGTGAGCGCGTCTTGCTCGCACTTATGGGGAGTTGGGGCCAGCAACTGGAGTGGGCGAAAGAGAGAGCGAGATAGGGAGCCAGCGAGAACAGGACGAGCACGTTTTTATTTTTAGCCAAAATATGTCTTGCAAATTGAGAGCAAAAAATAAAAGAACACACGCACTTATTCTCTCGAAAAGCAAATGACCGCAAGACGTGTTAATGCCTTCCTTTAACCCCATTCCTCTTCCCTCTCTTGTTTATTTCAGTTGATACTTTTCAACTCCAATTCTTAATTCTCCCTCTCTTTCTGCCGACCCCTACCCATAACTTTCCATCTCCCTCTTTCATTTACATTTCCAACTGCGCACGTATAAAATTACTACGACAAATGTCTGCATGTGTAAGTTAGTGTGTGTGGGGGTCCGAGTTCGTTACATTTAATTTATATTTTTTTCGCTATCTGAATTGATATAAATTGGTCGAGTGTACGTGTAAAAACCGCAGCAAAACTTTAACCAAAGTTCAATTTTCGCCAAGAACAGCTGTTGCTATTTATTTTGCTTTAATTTTGGCTTTGCTATTTTCGTTTTTTGTTTTGCTTATCTGCCAAAAACAAAAAAATATATACTTTCACTTATATAAAAAGAGCAGGTTCAGAGATAGTGAAAGTTTTATTTTTTGATTGTTCTTTTTATAAATTCTTTAAATTGTATTTACAGTGACCTTCGATTTTAACGAAACTTCAGTCTATGGATTCTGATTATAGTTTTTAATAAGTTTCTTTCACGATTAAAAAATTCTTTAATAATATTTTATTGTTACAAAAACTTGAGACACTTAGTTTTACGCAATGTTTAGATTGTCTCTTCCTTTGAACTTACAATCCGGACACGTGGGAGGTTGAAAGTATTGCGCATTTTATTCTTTCCGATCTTATGGCATTTTTTATTACATGAATGCTTGCCTATTGTCTTCCTCTTTGTATTTCCTCACAGCTGATTGAGTCAAACAGGTTACAAAAGAAATACGAATAAAGAAGTTCAAAAGCAGACCTGTGATACATGATAAATGCCCCCATGCAAAGCAGCAACAAAAGTGTTGACACACAGCAAATGCAACGCCACAATTAGAAAATGTGTGTCAATTATATTAAAAAAAACTCGAGTAGTTTTCCTGACTTCACAAACACAAAAACAACATTTGAGGGAGTGGAAAGATAGAGATAGCGAAAGGGTGGGGGAGGGAAGAGAGTGGGGGAGAGAAGGGGCCAGAGAGCATGATTTGAATTGCCTTTTCAGTAAATTATGTGTGCAGCTGTGTGTGTGTGTCAAATAACACCGAAGGGGGCGTCGCATAGTCTCCCAAAGTGCTTCACCTACACAATTGACCAATTACAGTACAACTTCCCCAAGTTCACTTTTACTTAATAAAAAACTCACTTAAATATATTTAAGTCCTAAGATAAATTTTTAAAAACAAATTCTTTCGAAAAGTAATTCTTAAGATAAAAACTGCTTTTGATTGTATAAAAATTAAAAACTTAGCTCAATTGCTCTCAACTTGATTAATCTTATAGGAAACCATAACAATTGTTTCAAATTTCATAAATACAACTTTTTAACAACATTTTATAAAAGAGATAAATATCTGTATTACTTTTCCAAATCTTTAGTTAAATCAAAGCCTTGAAAAATAGTATAAAGTTTACGAACATTTTAATAGATATTTCGAGGTCTCCAAAGCTCTATATTTTTACGGTTTTATATTACACCTGAAAATTTGCTCTTAGCTAAACTCTACTGTCTGTGTGAGCGATCTTCAATTATTGGCAACTGTGTGTGGGTGGTGTGGTGGTGGGGGAGTAGAGCTTCAGCAATTGCGTTGTATTTGTGTTAGTGACTGTGCTTTGGCATTACGTCACCAACACATGCGCAGCTAACCAGCTGAGTGACCACAAACACACACACGTATACACTTGGCACTTAAAGCCATACAATTATTTTTGTTTTCTGTACCAACCTTTTTTGCTGTAAAACCTTTTCGAAAACTCCCTAATTGTGTTTTTCTTTATTTTAGACGAATTTATAAATTGAAAAACAATCTATTGATTTTTTAATGTTCATAATTTTAAGTATTCACTGTGGCGGATTTTTGTCGCCTTTGATTTTGTTGGATT